GGATGACCCGGGCGGGACGCACCCCGTCTGCTATCGGTGACAGTCTCCCTTCAGATTCCGATCATGTCTCAGAGCAGTTCTCTATCCACTACACCGACTATTACCGCGATGCACCACCCAAGTCTTATCGACATTCTCTTCGGCCCTGGAATGGGAGACTCGTCAAGGACAAGTGGTTCCCGCGTCATGATACGCCCCTTCATCCTCTTTGCCTACCCCGCCGTTCTGTGGTCATCGCTTGTTTACGCACTTGCCATCGGCTGGCTCATTGTCCTCTCCGAATCTGTCGCGCACATATACGAAGACACCTCTTACAACTTCACACCTCTGCAAGTCGGCTTGGTGTACATCTCTCCCTTCATTGGTGGCGTCCTGGGTACCGCTGTTGCAGGAAAAGTTTCGGATCTCGTGGTCCGCTACCTCGCGCGCAAGAACGACGGCGTATACGAGCCCGAATTCCGCTTGTTGATGGCGCTGCCCATCACTCTCGCTACCGTCATTGGCCTCATGGGCTTTGGCTGGAGCGCCGAAGAGAGGGATAATTGGATTGTCCCCACCGTCTTCTTTGGCGTTATCAGTTTTGGTTGTTCGCTTGCTTCGACCACGGCTGTCACATTTGTGGTGGACTCGTATCGGGTATATGCTGGAGAGGCACTTGTGACATTGAATGTCTCAAAAAGTAAGAATATGGAGAAACCTTCAAAAGAGAACTTGACTAACACATGCAGATATTCTTCACGGTTTCATCTTTTCGCTTTTCTTCCCGCATTGGTTGGAGTCTAGCGGTTCAAAGAACACCTTTCTCGCCATTGGAGGTATTCAGCTTGGCTGCATGCTTTTCTCGATACCCATGTATATTTATGGCAAGAGAGCAAGGATGTGGACAGTGAGGAAGAATCTGATGGAGAAATTCTAAGTAAGAATGCTACGCGTTAACCCACACAATGAAAGATGTGGAGAGTTGACTTCAGCTCCTTGCTCATGACCAGATATTCTCTCATTCAAAGACCCAAAGTTCTGTTTCCCAACGAGACAAGGTTGTTCACCTTGTTGACCACGTGTCATACAGCAAGTTCGCATCGAAATCTGAGGGCCTCCAGACGCCCAAGTATTAGCCGATTGCAACGTCCTCCAGCCAGACTAAAAGACAACGCCCTTCGTCTGCTTGACATCCTTGATGTTTTTATTATTGATCATTAACATGAAGATGAGCATCAGGCTGGAGAATGCAACTCCAGCGGCAAGCATTCTGGTGTGTCCGTATCCGTATGCAAGCTGGATGGCCAGCCTCTCTTCACTTCCGACAGGGTAACTGAGCTGTTTGGGTAAACTCGCAGCAATGAGTGCGGCCTGGTCCTGTGCAGATTCTGGAAGGTAGTGCGCGAGGGCGGATGGAAACACATTGGTCCATATTGCGCCCGAGATGGCGGGCCCGATCGCACCTCCAAAAGCGCCGGAGACATAGAGCAGCGACATCGCTGACGATGTATGCTGGTGGTCGACAGCCGAGAGCACAGAAAGCTGACATACTAGGATAAAGACCGCTCCTCCGATGGAGATGAAAATCTCGCACATGATGATATAGCCGATATTGCCATTGGGCTGGCGGAAGTGGATCATTAGGCCCAGAGTAAAAGTGTAGAGCGGCACCGCGATGTAAAATAGCCATCTGTAGAGGCCAGTACGGCGGATTGCGTAGCCAACAATAAACAAGAGGACACCAGATACAACGGAGAAAGTGTTGTTGATGTAGCCAGCTTCTGCTATAGAGAGGTTGAACACAACCTGCAAGAACGACTGAAAGTAGAGGTTCCATGTATAATAGGATATCTGGTACACCATGTTGAGAGCACAGGTTCCGACCATGGAGCGATCTGTGAGGAAGTGCCAGGGTAGCCAAGGTGAAGGCGCCCAACAGTATTCGTGGATGCAGAACAGAACCATTGCAGCGAATCCGATGATGATCATAGCAATGATCCATCCGGTAGCCCAGCCGTTCGACGCGGACGCTGCAAGGTTAAACGGCAGAAGGAAGATCATCAGACCAAAAGCAAAGAGGATAACTCCAATAACTAGAAGACATGCGTTAGCTCACATTGCCAGACGTGAGATCTAAGCACACGACTTACTATCAAACTCTATGGCAACATGCTTGAGAGTCTGCAATGTATTCCTCCCATTATCCACAGTCTCGTCGGGCATGAGTCCGGCTTTCCTGGCCTTGCTGAGGTTCAACCTCAATATCGTGCACAGTGGTATTGCCACGAACGGTGTGATGATGGCAAAAGTCCCAAAAGCCCATCTCCAGCTTCCGACATTCATTTCGAAAGCCTGGGCAGCTCTAGGTCCTGCAAAAGCAGTGACCATATAAGGAGAGGACGTGAAGGCAAAGGCGAGCCCACGATTTCTCAAGCTCGTTGTGTCTACTGCAACGATAACATAGGCGTAGACGGCTCCAGCGGCTCCGACTGAGGAAAAGACCTTCAGATCATGTCAGCGACGATGTTGCATACTGGACAAGGGCTTTTGCTATCTCACTCTTCCTGCGCAGAGTGCTGGCAGATTCGGAGCCGCGGCTTGCAGGATCATTCCCACAGTGAGCAAACCCACCATAAGCATGAAGCCTTCAGCTCGGCCCCAGAGATCAAGACCCTTCGCTAACGGTATATAGCACGCAGCTGTCATGGCACCGGAAACGATATCGACGACCGTGAGTAGTGAGTGCAAGCCAAATTCGCTCGTGGCATAGGCCGTCATGGAGGAATTGATAGAGGCTCTGAAACCGCCAGAAAGGGTGTAGATCCAGATACTGTTGTTCCATACTGATTAGGTCCACTGTCGATGGAGTAAAGATGCATTTTGGATAACTTACCAACTCAGAGTCGTGTACAAAGCCGTCTTCGTCCATATAAGAGTAGTCGCTTGAGCTTTCCTCACACCAAGCTGGGCATCCTGATCAAGTCCACCGCTCCAGGCGCGACCTGCAGCTCCGGTTGCAGGTTCTGTAGCTAGAGTTCCCTTATCGTCGATCACAACCGATTCTATTCCTGCTTTTGACCTGGCATGGTCAGGAACTGAAGTTTCGGTTATATCTGCGCGGCCAAAGGTAGGCCGCATCTTGAACGACGTGATTCCGATGTCGGAAGATTATTATGAGTACGAGACAACGCGAGAGCCACCACTAGAGAGATGAGAAGTGTCCACGGAAGCCACTACAGCATAGCGGAGAAGGTACCTTGGTGTCTATTTGTATCTTTAGATCCGCCCACTCAGTCACTCACTCCCGCGGCAGGCGAACAAGGGTACTGCAATTCCCTAGAGTCATGCACAGTGGGTACGCGTACTATTTGGTAGTAGTATAGCGAGTTATATGGGCTGGTCTAGAGCGAAATAAACCATGGAGGATACGCGAGCCCTTATCAGATGATACTAGTTGATCGACTAGATCCAAACAAGCTGTTTGTCGGAGAAGAGCGGAGCACAGAGGCGATCTGATAAAATTCTTTATCTAAGCACTCGTTCGCGAGCGTCTTGGCTATGTAAAGGCGGGTCGGAACTCGGCTTCAGCGACTTGGCACGAAAGTAGCTACAGCTAAGAGCATGCTGTAGTTATATTAAGATCTAACGTAAAGCACTATCGAGCCGGCCACTCTATCAAGCTGGCTACTTTTTCTTAGCATCGCGAACACTACGTACGAACTAACTATAATGCTATCTTTAAAATAACTCTAACTTATTATATAAAGAAGGCAGAATTACTCTTACTTTTTAGGCTTATATCTTAGGCTAATTTAAAGACTCTATAATATGCTACTATATTCTTTAGTATATAATCTTTATAGAATTATAAATTAAGCTTAGTTAGCTTTAGCTACTAATTTTATAAACTATATTTTGTAACTATATTTTATATTCTAGTTAATCTTACTAATATAATATAGCAATAGCCTCTTCTACTTTTATTAAGTAACTTATCTATATATAAGTCTCTATATTAAAAATTAAATACTAATATTATAGAACACTAAAATCTAATACTTAATAGGCTTACTACTAATAAGCTGCTTTGCTTAGCATCTATAGTAGCAGATGCTTTATAAAAAAGTAGCTATATTATTACATTATTTTAGGAAAAAGTAGAATTATGCTATAAGCAGCAGATGCATATAACGTAGTAGAGTAGTAATAGAGAAAGATAATAGAATAGGCTATATATCTAAGACCTTAACATAGTAATAGATAGTAGATAAAATTTAACAATATAATAGAGTAGATATTTAGACTAGTCTACGATATACAGTAGAGGATAGTAGAGCTATATTATTATATATATTACTCTTAGAATTATTGCTATCTACTCTATGCTTGCTAGCTTCTAAAGCTTTATAAGAGACTTATTCTCTTATCTGCTAACTTTAAGCTTTTTCTTTTTCTTCTTATTTTTAACTTAGGCTATAAGTATTACTATTTACTTTTCTAGAGTATACTTATTTATATAAGCATTATAGTAAGAGATATAGTAAAGTAGTAGCGCATATCTAAGTTAGTATACTTTAATAGTATTCTTATTTATAAAGTATATAATAACTTTACTACTTATTTACTTAATTATATACTTAATCTTAAACTATATAAAGATATAGCTAGAGGCAAGAGACTAGATAGAGAACTTATAGAAGTAATTTTAGAAGATTAACAATATAGCTTTATAGTAATCTACTTACTAGCAGCTATAGAATAGAGCTAGTAATCTAGCGTATCTAGATAAGCTTAGAAGATTAATAATATTATAGTATAGCTTAGGTAGCATAGATAGTAATATAGTATAAGATATCTATTATATTATTAGATAGTTATTTATTCTAGATATAAAATATAAACTAAGAGTATTATTAAAAAATAAGCTAAACTAAAAGAAGATAGTAATTGCTATCTACTATTAGCATAAAAAAGCGTTAAAAAAGTATAAAAACATATAATCTAGTATTAGTTAATAGTTCTAAGTAAGGCTAGTATAGATACTACTAACTAATACCTAAAGTAGCAAATAGATATAGATTAGATTATAGTTAAGTATTATATAATATATTTTATAACTAAAGCGCGTATCTAACTAAGTTACGTACTTTACTCTACTAAAACGCCTACGCAGCAGTAATGCGTAATATCTTAATAACGCTAGGCTTAAAATTTCTATACTAAAGCAGATATATAGATTACTATTCTTAATATATAAAATTAGTAAATTTAGAGTATTAGACGCGCTGTAGCTATCTATAACGTCTCTAAAATAACTATCTAAGACTATTATAATAGAAAGTATTCTTAATATAACTGCAAACTAAATATAAAGCGCCTAATAAAACTAGAAGAGAAGATAATTATAGAGTATATACTTAAGTATTCTATATATAGTTTACTTATCTTAAAGGCTAATATATAAGATATAGCTAATAGACTACTTAGAGAGCACGCTAGCAAGCCTATTAGTAAGAACTAAGTTAATAACTTTATTAAGTATACTTTTAAGCTATATAAGCGCTAGAGCTATCTATATAATTACTAGTAAGCTGCTTATAAGAACTTAGTAGTTATCTAGCCTTAGTTTATGCTAGTTTAAGATATAAAGGAGAAGTATAAAGTTATAGATAAGAATATATATAACTTTAATAAGTCTAGCTTCTTAATAAGTAAGATATTCTCTTAGCTTATAGTAATAAGTTTAGAGAAGTCTAGAAAAGTAAAGAAGCTTTAGCTTAGTAATTATAAGTAGATTATGCTAGTATAAAGTATTAGCGTAATAGAAAAAATAATTCTACTCTTCTTTATCTTTATAGATAAAGTTCTTATCTTAAACTAGTTCTATAACCTCTTATATAACTAGATTATCTAAGTTAGCTCTACTAGCTAGATAAATAATAATCTAGCGCTTACTTAGCTTAAATACTTTAACTTTTATATACGTCTTATTAAAGTATATAAGCTACTTATTATTAATAGCTATAAGAGCTATTATATAGTAGAATTCTAGAAATACTATAAGAAGAAGAAGATTATTACTCTTTATATGCTTATATACTTATCTTACTTGCTATAGCTATTTAACGTTGCTTATTTCTTACTATTAAAGCATATATATAGTAATAGTATCTTAGCTTTAGTATATAGTTATATCTACTATATTAATAAAGAAACCTTTCTACTAGCCTTTAAAGTTACTTTTAAGAAGACGTTTATAGTAGAGAATATTTATATAGAGTTTTAAGATACTAGCTTAGTTCTATATAACTTAGAAGTAGTATTATTAAAGCTTAATATACGCCTCTATACTCTACTATTAATAACTATTAAGAATAATATCTAGTAGGCAAAGATATTGCGTAACGCCTATAAGATAAAAGTATAAAGTATACTTATTTAATAGAGAGTATAAAACTATATAAGTTCTATAGTAAGGTTAATAGATAAAAAGATTATATAGCTAAGTAAAGGCGCTTAGCAGATAGCATATAATATAGTATTAATATAAGAAGAAATAAGCTACTTTTAAGATACTATAGAAGTAATAATAAAGTATAAAGCATATAAATAATAATATATATAAGTAGAGAAGACCTTAATAGTTAGAGAGATATTAGACTTAATTACTATAATAGCAGAGAACTATTATAATAATAGTAATAGACTATTAAAGAAAGTATACGCAGAGAGGCGCTATAGCACTTATAGTAAGACTAGATATAATACTTATATCTATAAAGTAGAGATAGAGAATATAGAAGATAGTAATGCTTCTAATAAATAATATATTTATATTTATAGTATATAAATTTATTATAGTATTGCGCTACGTTGCTGCGCAGGCGTTTTAGTAGAGTAAAGTATATAACTTAGTTAGATACGCGCTTTAGTTATAAAACACATTAATATAAACTCTAAATTAACTTAATCTATACCTAAACCTTTTTGCTAGAATAAGTATAAGTTAAGTTATAGTTACGAATATTTAGATTATAGTTAAATTTATATTATATAAGTATATATAAGTCTTAGTTAGTAATTTTTTTTAATAGTAGAAGTAATATATTAGTAAAGTAATAGTTATTATAGTTATTTATTATAGTAGAAATATATTTATATTCTAAACTTCTTAATTATATAGAGAAACTAGCTAGCGTCTATGCTACGTCTATATTTAGACTTATAAAGACCTTTATTATTTTAGGCAAAAGTAGAATTATGCTATAAGTAGTAGATATATATAATATAGTAAAGTAATAATAGAATAAAACTAACGTAGTTTATAAGCAAGCGCTGCACTT